GTCTCTTGTGAATGCACGCACAAGTGATATCCATCGGCCTCGCCGCCGGGTGTGGATGCAAGGGTTTACGTCGAAAGGTAGTAGATACGATAGCTTATCTCGAATTCATTCGCTAACCAGCTACAGCACTCGTCGGCAAAGAAGAACAGACCCTTGGCTTGATTGAACAGATGGATCAATGCATCCAGGACGACATGGCAGCCGGCCGAAGCTCCAATGTTACCGATATGATCTACTGGCTCAGCTTCGACCGCATGGCGCAGTTCGTCCTGGGCAAGAAATTCAATATGCTCACCAACCCTGACTGGCGGTTCGCCATTCGCACTGTGCAAAAGGCCTTGTCAATTTTGGGACCCTTGAGCCCGGCACCCTGGCTTGTGCAGATTGTCCTACGGCTGCTGCCTCGCATGTGGATCCTCAAGGACTGGTTTCGCACGATGGCCATGACGAAGGGAGAGTTGCGAAATGTCAAGGTTGGACCCTTCTGCCTCCCCCCATTATCAGAGTGTACAGTATTCTCATCATGCATCCTGGATATCTAGGTACCCACCGATATGTCTAAAGCCACATCCTTGGGTGCCTTCCTCATGGAAAGCTCCCAGAAGGACAGCTCCCAAGATCAATGGTTAGGTGGAGACAGCTTGTTGGCATTTGTCGCAGGCAGCGATCCAACAGCAGGCATTCTGCATGGTCTTTTCTACGAACTGGCGCGACACCCCGAGCAAGCCGACCTCATCTACCGCGAACTCCAGCAGCTGCAGCCAGAAGAGCTAAGTGATGTCAACGCCGTGCGACGATGCAAGCACCTCGAAGCTGCGATCTTCGAGTCACTGCGCCTCTATCCTTCCCTGCCAACGGGCGGAAATCGCAAGACTCCCGCCAACGAGGGGATTACTGTCGCTGGGGTCTACATTCCCCCGGATACCACGGTAGTCGCACCCCGATTTTGCATTTCACGTCGTAAGTGTGCCCTTGATCCTGCTTTACTTCAACCGCCTTGAGTTATGAAGTCATACAGCGTCCAAATGTTGTGCCAAGAAGGCTAATCCCACGACAGGCGAAGACTGCTATGTGAAGCCCAACGAATTCATTCCCGAGCGCTGGACAACCCGGCCTGAGTTAGTGCTTAACCGATCAGCATTCGTTCCTTTCGGCACTGGTAAGTTACCCGCAGCATCCACTCATCGAGTGCACCTATTGACTTATGATTATCAGCCTTCCGGAGCTGCCTTGGGCGCGGACTCGCAATGAACGACATGATGCTGATTGGAGCACACATGATCCAACACTATCGCATGAGCTTCCCTGCAGGAGATGCAGGCGACCGCGTGTTTAATGACTGGAAGGACCAATTCACTTCGTGCTTGGGCCGGTTGGAGTTGAGATTCGAGAGACGGACTGCCTAATTTTCTTACTCTACCTTAGTCTACCTTCATATCCTAGCGCTATTCTACACTTCTTATTTTACATACATTTACCTACTATGCAAAGTAGTCACAAACTTGCGGGAAATCTAACATTCGATGCCGGAAAAGTCAGGTCACCCTAAGGACGATTAACAATTCCCGCGGGTTAGAAGGAGGGGTTGGGAAGGTCTAGTGGAGCTGGGGCGTGTTAGTGCTGATATGACACCTCCGTCGTGCTTAGTGCTTACGGCTGTCTTCACTAATGCTTAGCGTTCTTTCTAGTCTATCCTATTCCCCATCACCACAACCCTGCGGCCGCACGTGTCAAATACCGTGGAGACCTTGCAATCAGCACCCAAATTTGTTCCTGATAATCCCCCCAACTTAATCCCAGAATCTTTCTATTTTTTCTCACGCTTCCCCTCATGCTGCTTACTATTTCTCCACCACATCATCCTCAGCCCCCGGTACATGATAGGTGCACTCACGGCTAGTGAGCCGCGGACACAGCTCTGGCCTATAGTGGGCCATATTGAGGCCAACACTGACACTGCGCCGCTTTATCCGCCCATAGCCCATTTGACTACTCTTTACTGAATGTGATACCTCTACTGGCAATAATTGGGCTACCAACCTTACTGAAGACATCCGGGGATTAAGAGCTGTTTCTTACTATGCTTACTGGATACTATTGTACAACTAGCAAGAGTAGAAATTATCTATAGATATCCCAAGACTGAATTATATATAATGAGCAGCGCAGAGCGCGGAGTGAGCACAATGAAGCATGTACTGAGTGATCCTGCATTGAGTTAGAAGTGACCTTGATTCGAGATTATACGATTAAAATACAACATGCACAACAATATTATCCATCTTAGGCTCTAGTCAGCGTTTCATTCTCTTGAAATCTAGCCTTTGGAAACATTACGCCCTGATACTTTGCTTAAATTGCGTGTACGCTTTTTATAGGGAAAGTAATCCTTTGAAAGTATAATGAGCACACCATTTCCGGGTGTACCTGAACATCAATATGGGATGCTAGGGGTGCGCAGGTATCTGCGGGTAATGATGACCTTTTTGGCCTTGTTGATAATTGACTTTCCTGGTGGATTCGTATACTTTGAGACTGATGTATTGATACTGTTATGACTCAAGACCATGAGTTTCTATTCCTCGTTGCAAGGGATCCAGCGTCTCTCTGAGTTTATATGAGTAGACTATATATCTTCTATCATAATAGAGTCCCTAAAAGAATACCTTAAAAGCTAAGAATGAGGGGAAAGCACGATCACTCAGTTTCTCAGCTACAGCCATCAGTCTAGACTCTAATTTCTTGAGGAACTGTTGTACAAGCATAGAACCTGTGATTCAATGAACAATAGTACTGAAAGCATGAACAGGGCAAGACAGATCAGTCATCCATCTCCCATATAGAATACCATATAGGGCCTTGCCATCTCCAGACCTACTTACCCATTCAGCATCCCCTGCCACCTCATATACTAAACAAATACTATCTCTAATCTTCCATCTCTTGTATACGCCCCAGAGACAGGACTACTTCCCACATACTCAGTATCCTCGCCTCAATCTCAATCTGAATATCACCCACCCACCAACACTACATAACAAATAGTACCAAGTACGCCCCCAACCCACACCCAATCCTAAGAACAGCAACAGATCTTCCAAGAACCAGCAAAGCCCGTGAATCACATGCCAGCGACCACTTCTTCACATATAACCCAAACAACATCACGCACTTTCGAACGAATAAGAGAAACAATACCTTAGCCCCAGCCCCATACTATTGCCCAGCAGACATTTCCCCCTTTACCGACCCCCAAATAAATACGAAGTAGCTATGGCTGCTACTGGATACCCTTCAAATCCTCCAATACTCGACACGAGATTTGGGGGCGAGCAGCCAGGGCACGCAGGGGAGAAAACAGCCCAGCCCGGCTTTAGATACGTACAGTATGATCCTACGCTTGCTGCTTGCCTGCCGAACACGCCTCCGGCCCCCAGGCTAAAGAGTCGAATACGGGCTCGGTATCGCTAGGAAGGTTAGTTGGATGGAAGTGGAGTGGGGATATTCGTTGACATTTTATTAGCGTAAGAGCCAACAACGGGATTATGCGGTTATGCACTTGACTGGACATAGATCAGGGCCAAGAAGAAAAAAAGGTCAAAGGAAATTGGACGAAAATAAATATATTGAATAAGATAACAAATAAAAGAAACAGTCCCAAGCAGAGAAAACATCCGTGCTTCTGCAGGATTAGACGACGCGGGGGCGGAAGAGTGGAGACTGAAGACACTCGGGAGATAAGCAAATCACTACGAGAGTCATGTACGGAGTAGTGCCAGATAGGGTAAGTGGCTCGGAGGTAAGTCCCTGACTGATAATATCCGGGGCTATGTAAGCTGTGCTAAGTCGAGAGCCGCATGATGCAGACAGGGGGTGAGCGTAAGAATCCTAATAAAGCATATGAATTATGCTTCTTATCCTTGTTGCAGCGTGGCATAATCTTCATCTCGGACATATAACCTGATTAGGATAGGACGATTTACTTATTTGCCGTTTATTTGGGGGCCGAAAAACCTGGCGGGAGTTTGTCTGACTTCGTGTCTAGTCTACTGGTAGATATTATAGCACAGAAATAAGCGTCGAAACGGTAAGGGTATGCAGATAAATGCTGCGCTAATTTAACGGTTCCTGTTTTCGCTCACGAATACTTATTCTTTTATTCTTATGTTTTTATCACAAAAATGAATACACAGCCCACAACCAACCCCCCGGCCTAACGGCCCTACTCGTTAAACCAGGCCAGCCTGCTAGACCCATAATAAACCAAGTTAATGCTCTGCAAGGCAGAGTAGAGGCGGAGCCAGGTAAGTGGCTACCTGGCCCAAGCTATTACTTACTGTCCATGGCTCTCTCAGCCCCCACCGCGGGGATGCTGTCGCGTACTGCGCAACGGAAAATTCATGGTCGTACCACATGCGGTACAGGCAGTCGATGGTGGCGGCTCCGTCGGCATTGGGTCAGGTGTGCGGGCGTAGAGAGTGTTGGACCTCGCGGGGGGTGTATGTTGGTTAGTGGAACCAATGATTATACATAGAAAGGAAGGGAAGGATTCGAGTACATTGGTTGCACTAGGGTTTTCATGCGCTGTTGGTTGGATTTCTCTGTATGGCCCTTGTGTAGAGCGTGCGGGTGGAGTTGGTAGGATTCTGGTGGTATTTTAGGGACTTTTCTGAAGGAGTTGGCTTGTTCTTTACCGTGGGTATAGCTTGGAGGCTAGCACGCTCATCGCTGGATGTTTATCTATCTTTGATGGGTTGTACTTTGGTTTGTGATAGACAGGTGAGATTGGTGGCGAGGGGAATGATGATATCTGCTAGTCGAATTTGGTGTGTGTACTATGTAGTGGAGTTGAAATATCTATTGCGCAGCGTGCAATTTGAATTTCTGGTTTATTAGAAGGGGTACTGGTCAGTTGAAGCCAGCCCGCTTGCTTGACTATAACCTTGGTGACAAACTGTGGAAGATTCCTTCAACTAAGTGGGTATAAGGAACCGCGAGGGCTTGAATGTAAAACATCTATCGTGGATACGTATCGTAGCAGTAAAATCCTGAAATACTATCAAGTCTATATCACAAATGACCCTTCGGTTTACCATTGATACTCTTTGTTCAGCCCCCACTCGACAGCGGCAATCTGCAAAGCCAGGACAGGAGAGAATTGTCTCGACCAGAGAAAGCTGCCCGTCATGTACCAGAATCCTGGCATGCCAGTCGGTCTCCATACCTACAAGCGAATATGTTAGCCATCTGTAACTACCAAATGAGGGACAGTATGTGAACTTACACCAAACCGTTCCTGGCTCTCATCCAAGCTACATATCACACCCGGCACCCTGTCCAGGATCTCCTTAGGCACGATCCGCTCGATCGCTTTATCTATGCGTTCGAAGCCCGTGGCAAGAATAACAACATCCGACTCGACCTGAGTACCATCGGCGAGAGTAATTCCGTCTGGGTAATATTCCCGGACGCCTTCCTGACATCTCCGCACTTGGATCCGACCATCGAGAATCATCCCGCATGCTCCCTGGTCAATATAGAAATGACCCGCTTTGATCAGCTGATGATCAACGAGACTGTCGCCCTGGTCGCCCCTCTTGACGGCCAGTCCGGCCTTTTCCAGCCCGTCCAACATGTCCTTATCCAACATGGACATCATCTGCGACGCGCCGACACTAAGAGTCCGAACAACTGCCGTCGAGAACGAGTTACCCAGAAGATCAGCATCCTCGGTGTTCAAGCCCGGCGTATCCCACAGCTTCACCTGCAGCTCCTCTGTGGACTTGAGAGACGTAACGAAAATAGGGCTGCGCTGCACGATCGTGACTGATTTCGCTCCGTGACTGGCGAAGTCCTGGGCGACGTCGTGTGCGCTTGTTCCGGAGCCGATGATGGTAACTTTCTTGTTCTGCAGATCGGGCATCAAGCTCGCGGACTGATGCGCCGATGTGTGGAAGATCTGACCCTTGAATGTGTCCTCACCGGGGAAGGCGGGCTTGATGGGGACATCGCTGAGTAGGCCCGTGGCGAGGACGAGGTGCTTGGTGGTGATGTTCTGTACGCCGCCCTCGGTGGATTGGAGGTCGACCGAGTACCGCTTGGTGGACTCGTTGTAGTTAATATTCGTGGCTAGCGTGCCATGTCTGATATTAAGACCCAGAAGGTCCCCGTAGTGCTCCATCCATTTGGCAATGTGCTCTTGGTCGAGGTAGCGCGGCCAATTGGTGGGGTATTTTAAGAACGGATAGTGGTCCGTGTAGCTTGGGGTGTGTGATTTGATTGACGCGTACCTGGCACGCCATGAGTCTCCAGGACGGGCTGTTTTGTCGACGACCAGATATTTGAGCCCCAGATTCTGTAGGTGTGCGGCCAGAGCAAGACCCGATTGACCTGCTCCCACGACCAAGACTTGCAGATCGCTGTCCCCGTTGGTCGGTTGGGGCCCAGATCCACTTGACTGGATTCCGGCTGCCTTCACCCTCTGTGCTTCCAGCTCGTCTTGTCCATTCAGGCGCTCAAGCACGGTGAATACTGTCCACGCCTTCCACTCCTCGGGCCCCACATTCGCCAGGCGAAGAACACCCCTCCCCTTGCCGGACTTGTTCTTGAACCCAAACCCGGCCTGGATGAAGCGCATACCCCCCAGGTCAGCCAAGTGCGGTTGCAATGCGCCAGGCTGGTCCAGTGTCGGGTCTGAAAAGTCACTTGTGGAGCTGGCGAGGTAGTCGGAGATGGCCTGGGACCCGTTATGGCATGCAATGTCCCATGAGAAGGAGATAAAATCGCGCCACCAGGATTCCTTCTCCAGGAAGTGGGCTTGGATAGCGTCTGCACGACCCGTAGAAAGGCTCTTTGAGAAAGAAGCAAGCCATTCGTTGGCGATCTTGGATGCAGAGAGCTGTTCTGCGTCAATGGATGGGTGTAGACTGAGATTGGGAAGAGCCGCAAGCGGCGGGTATTCTTCGGATACTGATCCCATGATGATGGTAGTGGTTGAGAATATGCTGAAAGAATCAAACAAAATAATGTCTGGGTTGTTGGAGCCCAGTTGGTGGATAGCCCTTATATAACTTATTAGCTGACAGCTGCGTGCGGGATCACCCCAGCGGAGTGCATAGGCGGACAGGTGTCTAGCGCTTATTCTTTGCATACAAGGCTCCTCGAGTGGAGCTGGAGCCACCAATGCGCCTGATTGTGATCGGGGGCTCCCACCCCCAAGCCTCAACTTTCTTTGTTCGAGTATCCAAGCTAAAATAGCGGTATTATACTACTCCACCGGTTTTGTATGGTCAAGCATTAACAAGAATTGCTGGGTCAGACCACTATCTGTTGAGATTCGGGTCTCACGGTTATTACCTACGGTCGTTTTATGTGAGTGAGGCTTATAAATGGTGGGCGTTCTAAGCTGTCAGATTCAGAATTCTAGACTTCGATCAAATGTCAGAGCGATTCGCTCGTTTGCAGTAATTGGAGGAATCACTCCTAAAGCGCACTAAGAGCGGGGTCCGACATCTGCCCTGCCTGCTTTGCAAATATTGGGACCTCCAAAGGCATAAAATGCTGTTACCTACATTATTACTGGCTGTGATATAAACAGCCTTGCGGGGGGGATGTAACCATCTTCCTAAATCGCGGGAATACGGCTACATCTTCAGCAATCGAAAACATCTCTCTAACCCTATTCAACCATCAGTTGTCAGTACTTATTTATTAGTAGAAGAGTTTCGAAACATTCGCAAAGGTACCTTTGGTTAATTCTCGCTGGTAAAGATAATTAGGATAGGTAATAGCAAGCAAGGTCCTCTCCCACAGTATAACTCCAAGATTCTAATATTCCCATACACATACAAAACAGGGGGAAACCCGAATATCTTTACCCAAGCCGGGTTGCCCAGTGGACCCTAGAGATGCGGCTACCAATGATTTGCTGGGAAGGGGCCAAGCCCCCCAAGCCATCCCCACTGGGGCTGCCCCACCGCCGATCCCCTGGCACAGTTATTCGCCAGAGGAGTTAACGGTATAGCTGCGCCGATTTGTGCCTTCGTGTCATCCTCCCCCCGTGCTGACTGACTGACTGTCTTTCGCCGATTCAAGAAGTTCAAGGCACTGCCTGCGTGACATCCAAGTATTGCACTACGCCACGGCAGCTTCGTAGATAGTAGAGCTACGTGTTTGAGGTGCAGGGGACACCATAGAGCCGCGCATCTTGGAGTCGAATGTTTTCTACTACTAATATAAGTTGGTGGGATATACCCCGTAGATAGGCACCGCGGGATAGTCCCTTGCTATCTTGGTTGCCTAAATATCAGTACATAGTTTGGGGTTTAGGTAGATCACATATACACAATGATTAAAATAGTGCCTGTTCTTTGTCTTCGAATTACTGTCACATTCTAATTCGCTAAGAGCAAGCATCAGGTTCTTGCGGTGGGAGGAAAAAGCGCCCATCCCTGTCCTTCCTAAGCGGAGCTGAGTGATCCGTCATACAGACATTCACCTCACACGGAATGTTCTGCCCTTCCCCGAATAAGCTCCGCCGCTCGCTCCGCAACAGCATACACCGTCGACATGGGATTCGCTGCCGTCACGAGAGGGAATACACTGGCATCGACGATTCTCAAGTTACCGGTCCCATAAACCCGCAGATTGCTATCAACCACACCCCCCTTCTCCCGCGGGGCCATGATGGCCGTCCCGCAGAAATGATGCGCCGCCACGACCGATGCCCTTAACGTCTCCTCCACCACACCCTGATCCTGCGTCTCAGGGCTGGAACCCGGCGCGGAGCCAAGGATCTCCTTCAATGGAAGGCTGGTTGGAAGGGAGTGAAGGGTCTTGAAATGCTCTGCCATGAGTGGGAGATCCAGGGGGTGCGACAGATAGTCTGGGTCGATAATGGGCTTGTCAGCGGGCTGGGAGGAAGAGAGGTGGACGGAGCCGCGGGAGAGGGGATAGGAGGGGATCAAGCCGAGAATGGCCAAGGAGTTGGGCAGCGTGCTGAGGAAGAAGCAGGCTGTGGGTTCGGAGGGGTTGGCGAGGAGGGTGTTGAGGGGGGTCTGGGGGGGAGGGTGACGGGCGAGAAGGTCGGCCTCAGCACCCGAGCGGACGAAAGAGATGGCTTGAATGCCTGGGGTTGGGGAGGCAGAATCCGAAGATGCTTGGATGGGAACGGGAAGGAGGGCCATGAGGTGGTTCTGAAGATTTTCGCCAACGGAAGGGTTGTCAATGATGCAGGGAATGTCATGCGTGGAAAGCCGGGATGCAGAGCCGATGCCGGAGAGTTCGAGGAGTTTAGGCGTGTTGAAGGCACCCGCGGCGAGGATCACCTCTTTGGTGGCGGTGATGGGAGAGGGATTATTCTGGAGGAGGACCCCCGTGGCGGTGATGGTGGTGGTTGTCGTGTCGAAGAGGATGCGTTCGACCGTGGTGTCGGTGAGGATGCGCAGGTTGGGGCGCGAGGCTGCATACTGAGTGCTGTCGCTCCGAACGCCTGTGGTGGTGATGGTAGCTGTGTAGGGGCGGGTGCCGGTGGTGGGAGTTGGGATCAGAGTATCACTGAAGGCGTAGCCCTTATCTGCAAAGCTCTTGTTCCAGGCGTCGATGATGGTGTGATTCCTCGGTTCAGCCAGTGCGGGATAGGTGACTTCAATGGGCCCAGCTGCGGCTGATGCCGCAGCACCAGGACCATTGCCAGGAGTAGGCTGGGGACAGATGTGAAAGCTACGGTGAAAGTACGGGGCCAAAGTCTGCCAGGACCAGCCAGGGTTCCCCAGCGCCTCCCAGGCATCGATGCCCGCCGGGGCGGGGGGCACAAACGCCAGCCCGTTGATGGCGGAGGTACCGCCCAGCAGCCGGCCCGCAGCGTGGTCTTGGTCGCGGTTATTCAAGGCGGGCTGGCTCGCAGCAGTTAGCTGCCATAACTGACAGGAATGAAATCGATAGACATTAGATAGCACACACCTGCGGTACAGTCTTGAATTGCCAGTCCACCTCGGATCCGCTCAGGGTGGGCCACGCCGCCGGGTCCTGAACACGCTCGTCCGAGCTGCGGTCCGGTCCCGCCTCCAGTACAAGCACTTGGACGTCGGGGTCTTCCGACAGGCGGTTGGCCACCACCAGACCGGCAGTGCCGCCGCCGATGACAATGTAGTCGGCGCTCAGGTGGGTCATATTGCTCCTGATGATCAAAGTGCTCCTTGGAAAAGAAAGTGAGGGGGGAAGTGGATTCGTGTTGGTAGATTGATGCTATAAGAGGTAAACAGTGCGGGAATGCGCGTTGGTTAAATACTGGGCATTCCGCAAACATCACCAGGCAGGCTTATTCTGGCCCGGTGGGGTCCAACGACAGAACTGGAAACGGCCTTGCGATGGAGTGCGGCTGGCATTGGGACTACGTAGGCACTAGTAGTGACTCCTACACATGGGGCCGAAAAGGCTGTGCCGATCGGTGAAAACCGTGCGTGACTTTCAGGTCTGTAACTCACCTGAGGGGTGGGGATAGTGCCCTAACCGGTCCGGCATACTCGCTAAGGCCATCGGCGGGTAAGGGCGGAGGACGATGTTGAGCTACTGCTGCAGCCAGCAAGAAGTCGATCCGTTCTGATTATCATGTCAAGCAAGTTCGCCATCTTCGTGCCTGGTAATTACTGGACCTTCCTTTACGAGGTACATCCATCTTGGATGGGTGTTATGCCATGATTGATTCCGCTTATTAGCGCACTGAGATAGTAACATTTTCAAAACAAGATTAAAGAACCATACTCGATGCATTTTCATTTCCTCGCGCAGACTATTGGCCGAATCAATCTTTCTATTTACAAATCCCGCAAGCTCATCAATACAAGATAAGTAGTATCTCATTTTGTAATAGCATGCGAGGGGGTATTTTCACTCGCATCAATCAACGAGGCCCGAGACATTCCACTCCACGCCTCCGCATGCCCCTTCGACCCCGACTCCGTGTCATCCAATTCCAAATACCCGTCTTCGAGCTGCCAGCTCTTCGAACGCTTCGCCTGTCCGGGCTCACTGCCTATCGTGTGTTGAGCTTCCTTTAGCCGTCGTGGATTGGTATTGGAGTTTGACCGCCCAGTGAGCGTCTTGTAGAACGGCTCGACGTAGCGCCGGAATAAAGGCGCCACTGTCGGCAGCGAGACGATGATCATGCTGAACCAGAGTTCCATAAAACTAACTAGTCCGACGAGGTACAGACCGTGCACAAAGTCAGTCTGGGTCGAAGGCATGAGCGTGATGGCCATACGCCAGGCCATGACTCCGACAACACTGCGGCGTGTTAGTATGTTGTATACCAGATGAAGTAGCAGAGAAAGGGGATATCCGTACAAGAGACCCATGGCGAACATGACGCTAATAGTCAGTTTGTTCCTGAAAGGCATTTGTACCTTCCAGAGCAGTGGCATCGGGAGGAGCGCAATTACAGTATCAAGACCCATGTTCAAGGCGATTGAGAGGATCTCCTCCAACATTACGGACTTGCAGTACCCGCCCGGCACAGGATTCCAGCCATAGGAGATTGGATGACATTGGGTCATGAAGAACGATAGGAAGAAGACGTAGTAGACGAATACAGCGCCGTACATGACCCAGACTGCATACCGGAACCGTTTCGAAGGGAAGAGAGAGGTGTAGAGGGCGAGCATGGAGAATTTGCAGCATACGGTTCCCGTGGTCCACGTTACGTAGGTGCTGATGAAGAGCTGCAATGATAATGTTTAGAAGGCTATGATGCTGCAATGGGTTGGACTGTGACCGGCTTACCTGGTATTGAACCCCAATTTCGTAGCTCGTGAGTGTGTCCGTGTGTGCGCCCAGACCGTTGGCTATAGCCCAAAAGCACACTCCTTCCATGCAACAGGTGCTCAACTGTGAGGAGGTTAGACAATATCTGGGAGAAAAGCTGAAGAGAAACACACGTAGGCAATAAAGACAAAATAGTCATGCATTTGAATGGACGACCGTCTGATCCGGATGGCCCACAGCCTCAGTCCCATCATGAGGGTGGTCACCACCGCGAAGACAATCTCCCAGACCATAAGCCGGGCCCCATTTGGACTGATAGCCATTGTGATGTGTGAGTTCGCAATACTCAACAGTGCTGCAAATTTAGTTGTCGAGTGAGACCGAGGGATGATGGCAGGCTTTTGAATCTCGGAGCTTAAGGACTGACATAGCAGGGAGATAAAGGTGGGGGCCACAAAATAGCCATTCCCCTGTCAGCACAGCTTTCTGCACAGATACTTGGGATCAATTAGGTTGACTGCAATAGCTGGCCATACCGTTTGAAATGCACCTTGTCATGGATCCACCGGCATACGGCCCCCTCCTCTGAGCCGACCCGAGTTGTTAGTATCTACTACTAGCACTTAGCTGCAGTTGGGGGCGGTTTTGCTCCACACACACAAGGCGTCCTGCGTCCCGAGCTGCTGCAATGTGCTTTGTACCTTGCGATTTGCCTGGTAGTCAAGGTGTCAAGGTTTGGAAGGAAACCCCGCACCATGGCTATACAATATCCCTTGGGTTGTTCATCTACACACAGTGTTATCTACCAGGCAGTCTTGCCATTGCATCCTTCACTAAGTTCTGCCCTCACAATCCACTTCTATTGGTAAAATAGTCTATTTATCGTCTTGCAGCCACTAGATGTTGGTTGTAAAGCATATGTGCGGGATTGATTGAGAAGCAGGGTCTTGCCTGGGGCTTCACTTCATTGAGAAGCTTAACTTTAAGGCGCATTGTAGTTTTATTAGGGGACTTTTATTTAGAAAACCAACAGGTAGCTGTCCATATGTTTGAATGATTGCCAGAAAATATTCGTTAGTAATACAAAAGTCTAAAAAACAGAAAATAGTTCCAATCATCATATGTATGTATTCTTGGCTCTATCATAATTAGTAGTGATTCAACTAACTACTTTGGAAACCAGCTGACTTGTGCTATTAAACATGTAGACAGTACAAAAGGTGTGATCCTTCACTTGGTTACCATCAATCCTTGCAAGTAAACACATCCTATTCAGTAAATCCCTCCACCCCCCTCCCCCCTCTCACTCGGCAAAATCCTTGCAGCTCGCACCAAACTGACAGCAGATGTGGCAAATGCGATATTTCCTGCATCCCGAGCCACATTCAATACCTCGATTATCCCGGTTCAGAGGAAGGGTACAAATGTCACAGTCCTGAATCGACCGGCTCGATTCATAACGAAGATATGAATGGCTTTCTTCTATCAAAACCTGCCCTCCCAGCTGCATACCGTAACCGACGATGGTTTCTCGCAAAGCATCATTTCCCGTCGATCGTATCCACCACGACAGACTGCGACCAGAGTCATCACGAGGCTCCTGTGTCAGCGGATGGTCCCCGAGGATCCTCCGAACTAGACTCTCCCGGCCGTGCTGAACCGCGACAAATAGAGGAGTGAACCCAAATTGGTCAGGGCGATGCACAGCGCTGCCACGGGATCGAAGTTCTTCAAACATCTCTTCATTGCCGGTGACTGCCGCGTGGAAAAGCGCTGACCGGTCTTGTTGATCAACGTCATCCCATCCAATGCCGGGGGTCTGCAGCAATCGCGTAACTATGTCTTGTTTGCCCTTGATCACTGCCCAGGAAAGTGCGTTTCGCCCATAGCGGCCGTCAACCTCCTGGAGTGATACGCCCTGCTGTATCAGCGTCTCGACCATGTCCGCTTTGCTCTGAACTGCAGCCCAGCACAGGAGAGGCATACGGAGGACGCTTTGCTTGGCATCGCTGCCTGGATAGCGAAGCAATACCCGCACCATTTCCGGAGTCCCCAGACAGACAGCCATTCCCATGGTAGTGACCTCTTCCATGAGAAGGTAAGACGCAGATTTGTGCAGGAGTAAGTCGGGCTTGCGTTGCAGGAGAAGTTCAATGATACGCGGGCGATCCTTGTTGTTATCATTTGCCATTATCACCTGATCCAAAGGCGTCATCTTGCGAATTCCCAGCATATCAACTTTAGCGTTGTAGTCAAGAAGTAGAGTCACCATCTCCAGGTTGCCTTGTATTGCAGCCAAATCTAGTGCTGTCAAGCCTTCGGCACTACTGATATTGACGTCAGCCCCGTTCTCCAGCAACAATACCATATCCTCAATACTACCGCGAGCCGCAGCGATATGCAAGGCAGTCCGTCCATTTGATCCTTGTCGGGCCTCCATATCTGCTCCCTCTTGGATCAGACGCCTCATGATTTTTCGCCGCGCATCAGCTTCCCACGAATTGTCGGGCGTGGCATTAACGAGTAGAAGTAGCGGCGTGTATCCGTAGACATCTTTAGGATTGACGTTGGGCTTGCACTTGCCGAGCAGCACATCGACTGCCGCCGATTGGTAGTATCGGGCTGCCACAGCCAGGGTCGTGTGTCCGTCGATATTCGTGGCCTCAATATCGACCTTCTGCTGTAACAAAAGCTCGAAGGCCTCCAGGCTCTCGTCGTAGGCGGCATAATGTAGCGGGACACCATTGGACCTATCCGCATCCCTCTCGTTCACATCCTCGCCGTCCTCCAACAACATGCGAACTATCTTGGGGTTACCACCTTCCGCGGCACAGGATAAAGGCGTGCGTCCACCGATCGTTTTTGAGATTCTCTTCTGGTACTCTTTGAAGGGAACAATGCTGCTGAGGGCATTCTTGTAGTCTAAAGCGATGCTTAGTTGCTCCGCCCAGCCAGTGCTGCCGTCCATGGTTCTGACTCTCCGCCGTTTGGCCAAAAGATCACGCACAGACTCTTCTTTTCCTAGAAGACATTCCATTCCTAGGGCGAGTCGAGCGTCGCTATCTTCAGCGTCAGTCTGCAATAGGCTGTCCTCTCGCCCGAGGATGGTGAGCTGTTTCACTTCGGCCAGGGTCGACTCGATTGAATCTGAAGACGACATGATGAGGCGATGAATGGATGGATGACAATGAAAATAGAGCGAACAAATCTTTTGATGTTTTGCTGGTCGAATTGCAGAATCAGTCTGATTGTGATGGTGGTTTGTTGGCGTGTTCTGCTCGATCTATATAGACCTATCCGAGACGCAAGGGAGTGCAACGGGTAGGCAACAACTCCCTGGTACCTATTTTGTGATAGGTCAATTGTAGCACACCTCATCTCTGTGCATAGAATGTAGAAGACCTGGTTACCTGGCGGCTGATAGCTTTTTCTGCCTGGTCCTGGCCATAATAGTCGGTTGCCGATCATTCCCTTCGAGACTTTAGTGTTGGTTGTATGCTGCATGTAGCATACTGCTCCGAGACATCCCTTTATGGGCTTCACACACGTCTACATTTGAATATCGAGAACGGTATTGATGTCTTGATTAACGGAGTATCTACCTTGGCCATGTGGGTCTTTTGAGTGAGGCGTTGAGACGGTATGAAAATAGGATCCAGCCAATTTTAATAAACACCTTGCTAAAATGCCTCTGATGCCACAGATACCGGTACGACACCTGCTTATCGGCCACAGGCTGAGTCTCACTCACCTCAATTGCCTTGATCATGTCCAGCTTCTGCTCCTTGCTCCGAGCAAAATCCCGCCCACACTCGCCTGAACTGTGAAACTATCTTGGGCAGCGTCAATTGTGACACCCGTCTCTACCGGACCATAAACCGAAGACCATTAAACTACTAAATTATGCAGTATCACCATTTGCCTAGTATCAGGCTACATTAGAAAGTGATAGAGTATAAGCGGCATTCAATTCGACTATAAGCAATTCAATAATCTCCACATTGATCCTTCTCACATAACAGCTATCCCGATGACCTTCAACTGTATCCAGCGAGACCACAGACAACGGATATGATCTGCACAGCAGATCCGCGTCCCCTCCGCAAACCATCTTCTTAGACCGCAACAGCAGCATCAACAAGAGGAGCCGCCTCCTCACGCTTAGAGGCCTTTGGGGCCTGATCAGCAAAGTCCTTCACACCCGTGTTGATAGCATCAGAGATGCCACCGGCGATGGAACCAGCCAGGCTCTGCAGGTTCTCCGGGACCTTGGAGACGATCGTGTCGGACAGCTTCTTAGCAGCGGCCTTCTGCTGGGTGAGGTCGTTGTAGGTCTGCGCGCCCTTGCCGGCCTTGACAATCAGGTTCTTCTTGTTGTCAAGCTTGGTGATAACGGCAGAGATCTTGTTCTTGAGGTCGTTGACGGGGCCGGGGAGCCCCAGCGCGTCACCGCTGCTAAGGGCGGCCGTGCCACTGACCTTGGTGTTGCCGTTGTTGATGGCCGTCACCAGAGTGTCGGAGGCTTGCTGCACCTTGGCCACGTCGCCACCGTTGTAAGCTTGAATGGCAGAGCCCAGGGCGTCGACCTTGGTGCCGATTCTGGAGAGGACGCCGGTGATGGTGGGGAGGTCGCGCTCCTGAACCGCGGTGGGCGCAGCGAGGCTGCCGGCGGCGAGGCCGAGGGTGAGGATGGAGAAGATGGAGAGCTTCATGGTGGAGATTGAGGTGATTGGAATTGGATTGATTCAAGGATTGGTAGTAGAGTAGGAGTAGTGATTGATGATGCTGATTGCTGATGATAGGGATGGTTGAAAGACAATTGAGCGACTTTATATAGCTCTTTGGCTATACACCCGCGGAGACAGTAAATTCCCAACCTGGCAAAAGAGCGATTTCATGATGATACTTCGCTCGCAAAGTCTGAATAGTAGGTCGACTCCCAGGAAATGACGATGTGCAAACCCCTGAATTGTTAGTGATTTACAAGGACTGGATCACGAACGGTTAGGGATGGCTGAAATCCGGGGGAAGCTGAAGCAGAGACTCAAAAAGCGGATGTTTTCGAGCGTTTCCATTTGCTTAGCCGAACTTTAAAAACCAATGCAGAACCCTGTCCCACGGGGTGTTCGCGAGGGTCTTGCTATGTCGATCTTTATTTATAATTTAAGCTTTGCTTCCCCTGCGGCCTGTAGTCCTGAATTTTTGGTTCGCTCATCATTGCGGGAGTTTATAAAGCGGAGCTCGGGATCAGCCGCCAAGTAAAGAGCCAACCAACGCTGCCTCCTGGTCAAGTGATTTCATGATGCAAAGTTTCGAGGCCGTCGTTTCTACCCTCAATTTTATCAACAGGGTTGAGGTTTGTCTGGAAGCTTCGACCAACACCAATTATGAGATTGTTTTGTCCTGCTCGAGACGACCCTGTTGCAAGGCAGGGACAATTGAGGTATCACCTTCGATCCGATCACTTACCAGGCGGTCTTTCTCGAGAACATGAGTTTCATCAGGGCCGATCAGGACTCCATATTGTATCAGGGTGTGTCTAAAGACTCGTACTGCACTAGTGTGTCACGCTTCATACAGTTCTGAGCTATAAGCGGAATAACTGGTGAAAGGCTGAAAGGTGGAGGAGATGAGCAGGATGTTAAGTTAGGATGTAGCAGAAGATTGGTACAGAGGAAGAGTAGCAGCGGTATCGGGTGCTTTTTAATGGTAATTAGATACCCGATTACTAGGCTTGTTCGGCATAATAGCTCGCGTCATTAGTAGAGAGCTGGACCTTGATTCGCCTTCTGCTAGCCATTGAGAGATTCTAGACACCTGAGATATAGTTGAGATTGTGATGTACGAGGTTCTTCACTCTATAGTGCTTAACTGCGTAGCTTGTGCTGGCTAGACAACTGTTCAACTCATGGTCGAGTTGCATAATCGACGCATCGGGTCTTTTCCGCAAAGTATCATGGGATATATCCATTGCTCAGTTGCCAGCGCTGGTTCACACAAGTACAGGATTTGATACATTCTCAGGGGCGGTGTGTTCCCTAGCCATCTATTAATGGATAAGAATGTATATCTAAATTACTACGTAATATATGATCCTTATTATAAGGATCAATGTCTGATGTCTTCAGGTTTCAGGAAAACTAGTTGCGAACTAGGGCCTGATATAGGCAGGATGGAATCAGTCCTGGGCCACCTCTGCGCTTGTTCCATGCTCAGGAACACTCATTATATACAATCTTGCTAGGGTATGTATTTCAAATATACCAGGAAGTATATCTGCCTCTTGGCGATATCCCCTAGCTTGTAAGTACTGGAAAATCTCCATGATTTCATATAGTTATCTGTGTTCGACAATGCTTGTTATGTAGGTAATACTACTACCTCAAAAGAAGTACCTTGCTTGCTTTTAATCCTTATTATCTGCTGAAAGAAATCTAGGCTTTTGTTCCATTCATGAGTTATGAATGCGACTTGAAGGCCTCCAATTGCGCTCATTACATCTCGATACCAGTATCACATGTTCAATTTCTTCAGCATTTAATGCTTGATTTTTATTACCGAGCGCCCCAGCTGGCTACATCATCATAGATAACATGACACGTTATGGAGTTGGTGAATAGCGCAGAAAACCAGATCATTCCTGAATATGTCCATACCAAACACTGCCTGAACAACAATACCAAGCCCAATCGAACTCGTGCATATTGCACATACGCGCCCAGACACGAATCCATCCATAGTGGTTATCCTGCCGAAGAAAATTCCTGCTATCAGGATCCGAAACTTTCTGCTCCAAGATTGTGAGCTTGCGATTGATCTGCCCACGAATTATGTTCATCTGGCCTCAGGTATGCGGTACCTAATATGTACTACCCTTGAAAGGCGGCGTGCAACTTCAGGGTTAGGAGTAGGCACATTGTCCGGGCGCAACGGGATATAATGTGGTGATGGCTCCAGCGGGTAGTCAGATGGACTGTGAGGTGGAAAGGCTCGATAGTAAGGTAGTGCACTTGCCAATGTTCTTGAAGGTCTGAGGCCACGAGTAGTAGGCGCATAGTCCTGGTCTGACGAGGTTTCTAGTGGTGTTAGCACCACCGGTAAGTAAGTTGGATCCAAAGGTGAGACGACCCATTCGGGGTCAGGATAAGGCGCATTGTCCCGGCTTGACGGAATTCCCTCTGCTGTTGGTTCCTCTGGGCAGGTATCTAGCTCAAAACGTACGCGCTTCTTGGGTCTAGGTTCTCTGCCAGCCTCCGTTTTGTTGCCACTTTGAAGCTCTCCATCGTGGGTGTGTTCCAACTTGGCAATGTTCAAGTTGAGATTCTGAGATGGATCGGAAGGTGGGGTTGCAAAGGAGCATGCAGGTCCGGGGTCAGGAGGAGGTGGAGAGGGTGTGAATGTGAGTTCTGGATACACTGATCTCTCTATGCGATTCGGACCGTATCTATCAGCTCTCCCTTTCCTCCGTATCTTTGGCTTCCGGTCGTTCTTCTCCTTTGCGGTACCGCTGTTCTTCGTGGCTGGCTGTTCAAAGAGATTGCGCCAGCCCTGCACCTTTGAAAGTTCAGCTTTTAGCTCCTGTTTCTCCTTTCGAAGCTCTGCTGCGTCCCTATTTACTTTTTCGATGGTTTCGACAGCATGTTTGGATGATTCGTTGCGCTCTTTGCGAGCCTTGTCACATTCTTCCCAAGCCTTCAACCTCTCCTCTTGAGCCTTGTGACATTGCTCTTCCAAGGTTTTGACATGAGCTTTCAAGAGCTCGATCACATTTAGAGACTCTTTATCCTGCGGCATGTCTTGTAAAGTCATGATTTGTTCGGAAGATAGTTGGATAGGAAGGTTTTCGGTTTGGGCGGGTGGGTTCATTTTGGAGAAGGTGTCTGCCATGCCTTCACATTCAGTAATGAGGTCTTTCGTGTTTTGAAGAGCGGATTCAAGGGTCACCTTCAGGCGTTTTGATAAAAATCGATTAGGCTGTAACTGTCCACTAAAGTGCACGATGTATTGAGAGCCGTCACAAAAAGTATGGCTACTTATGAAGGAATACACCAGAGAGAGAGAGAGAGAGAGAGAGAGAGAGAGAGGAAGGTTGTGAGAAGTGAACAAGGAGCTGCACAGGAGAGTCTAGCTGAGAAAACCTTTCCCTGACGGGGGATGTGAATATCGCCCTGGAGATAGATCGATTAGTCGTTCATTTGTACGTGTGAAGGGTCACAGGCACCGGCGGGTCAGCTATAAGTATCAGTCATGTAGTTTGTTTCCTTTCTCTTCCTCATCACTCTTTCTGCACAACAGAGCTTGACTGTTAGGCCCGTTAACATCTCAGGTGAGTGATACAAACAAGCCCCTGTTATCATAGAAGCACCATTTTCCCCAACTCTTCGGCCCTCTCAAGCCTTTGGCTTGATTCTATATGGAATCAATGTCCAAACACGAATTTCGAAGACTAACAGTGTAAAGTCCCAAAGTATCTCGCCTGTTTAGCATCCACGCCTATCTCTTTCGAACTTCCTCAAGATCCTCACACCAGCACCATGCCAACCACCCAAGACGCACCGTCTGCCCAAGGCGCTTCTGTGGATGAACATGAACAGTCCTCTACACTTGCAAACGCCAGCAGCGTAACAGAAGGATTGATGGAGAGAGAGGTCATTAACCAAATCGTTGCTCTGCAGGCCAATGAGGTGGTGGATTTCCAGGAGCAGCTATTCAGGGACCCCTGGACCTCTAGGGAAACGCAAGAAGGAGATGAACAAAGAGAGACATCTGTCGTGGAATCAAATCCTCTGGATGGAGTCCAGCGCCGTCAAGCTTCTATTGTCGATCTAACTACGACCCCAGCCCCTCTCGAAAAGGCTTTAGCCAAGATCAAAGACACAGGAATTCCCAACGGCAAGGTGTTGCGTTGGCCCGTGTCTCTGGCACAATGGCGGAGTGATAAGTGCATCGCAGATGTTGTGGAAGATCTGGAATTTTTCCTCGAGATCTTCAAGTTACGCCTTGAGACTCTTCGCAAGGGGGCATGTGAGAAAGATCCAAGGCTCAGGGCTGCACTGTGGCGCGCAGAGCTGAATGCCCTGGATTCACCGCTTCTTAAAAGGCCTCGACGCGAATGATTAGTATCTGATATGATAGCTTTTGTTATCCATGTATGCGCTCCCTAGTCTTGTTTGAAGGCTGCTGTTCCTTGTTCACCTATTTCAAGTCGCTTTGCTGTGTCTACTTCGCTTTCGGTTCCACTACGCCTGCTTTTTTCTTTGATGTATCAATCTGATATTTATCCATAATTCTGGGAACATACCTGCCATCCCTCTCGGATCAAGAACATCACTTCGTGAAATGCAGTTAGAGACTTACAAGTTACTGAACAATCTTCATATCAGACTACTATCATCTATGAAAACCGTTTGAAAATGATTGTCGTCTCCTAGCACTGTCAATAGTGCTACTGTAGTACATAGACCTCTAAAATATAGTACCCAGATAAACATCCTTCTCAGCTTGACCTGAAATCATATGGCTGCATTACTTTGGAGGTAGTTTTCTCGCAATTTAACATAACAATAACCGATCCAAACCACAAAATTGTCAAATGCAGCTCAACTCAGAAATGCACTATCTTACCCAGTAAGATAGAATATAGGTGATAGTTACTTTGGAATATGTCGAAATATTGTAGATGACAGCCTACTGCAGCAATCGTGAGTGCAGAAACTATGTCCGGACCATTCCCTCTACCAGGAAGTGAAGAAGACATACATATGATCGAAAATCAATCTTCATTACCCGTGTCCTCAATGATTCGAATTTATGCCCATCCAGAATCTAAGATCATGAATGCTGGAAAGACCTATGATTTCAAGTGCATTACATTTACGTTTATCTCGATATGTTCGTTGAAGGGTATTCAGCTCTGCTTCAAATCCAAGATGGAACCAGAGGAAAGGAAGGCATTCCAGCTTCTCTTATCGAGTATGATTACTACCTACTATTGTCTTCATTCAAATCAGCAGCCATAACAGTAACCAATACGCCATGATAGATCTCAACAACGTGAAATCGAAATATCATGAATCTTATTCTTGCTTTATTTTGGTTCTGGTCTTGGTTTATTATTATCTCCCTATACGGAGAAGACTGTAGCGTTATCAAGCCATTGCGAAGGATCCATCTATGGTGAAGTACATGATGGAGGGCTTCCATGAAGAATCACCTTAAGTCTCTACCGACCCCTACATAGCCATGATCATTCTTTCAACTAGTACTAGGCTAAAGCTGGTAATTGCTTGAAAGACCAGCCAGAGGATTGACAACATATGCAGCTTGGACGTAAGGTACCCTTTTGTGATACTATTTATCTCATCTCGATCGATTAGATAACAGATAATTCCCGTATTATATCCTCACTTTTCAAGACATATCTCTAACCCTAACACCCATTCCATACCCATAAGAATAAGAAAACAAGATACCATCTATGTAGACATGTATGTCCTTCATTAACCCGGAAGAAACCCACTCACAAAGCCTCAATCGCCTTCCTCAGCACCTCCAAACTGCGGTCACTCACCTCCGGGCCACCCTCCTCACTCTCAGCCACCGTCTCCCTCAACGCCCAAGCAACATCACTCCACCATCCCATTCCCACCAGCCCACCTCCCTTCCGCCTCTCCAAACTCTCCTTCAACCGACTCGTATGCTCCCACTGCTTCGCAGCCACCTCTGCCCGCTCAATGACCTTGTCCGGAATGCCGCACATCGCAGCGCAGTGCATACCGAAACTGCCCTCCGCAACGCCATCTTCAAGCTTATATAAGAACGTGACGCGGCGTTCCTCGTCGTCAACGTGGATGCGCATGCGCTTCGGTGCGATTTCAGGATGTCCCTCGAACTCGGCAGCCAGGGAGTGGTAGTGGGTTGCGAAGAATCCGAGAGCGCCGATGTGAGTGGCAACATGGTGCAGGACGGCCTGAGCGACCGCCACGCCGTCGTAGGAGCTGGTTCCACGGCCTAGTTCGTCAAGGATGACGAGCGAGCGGGGTGTGGCTTCGGAGAGGATCTTCTTGGTTTCGGAGAGCTCAACGAAGAAGGTCGATTGGGCGGCGAAGATGTTGTCGTTTGCGCCTAGGCGGGACATGATTCGATCGACTGGGGTGAGACGCGCGGATTGGCAGGGGAGATAACATCCGATCTGGGCCATGATTACGGCGACGCAGGTCTACAGATTTCAGGGTTAGTCTAGCTATTCTGGAGAAGATATGGAAGAGGAAAGGGCTGGCTTACCATTCGGAGGACGGTGGACTTTCCGGCTGCGTTGGCTCCGGTGAGGAGGTCGATGTTCGCGTGTGTGCCTCCCAGTTGGACGTCGTTGGGGATGAAGTCGCCAACTGAGGAGATTAGGCATGGATGGCGCAGCTCCTCGAATTCAAGAACGCTTCGCTCATCGTCGACGAAGACAGGACGGCAGCTAGGTTGACCGAGCGATGAGGAGGCCTTGGCTAGACTGATGAGGCAGTCGAGCTGGGCAACAATGCGGACGGCAGCAAGCCAAGTGGAGTAGTTTTCGTCAAATCGTGCATAGAATCGGCCAGCGACTTCCTTGACGATCTGACTGTGTGTTTCTTGGGCCTCCTGCAACTGACGGATGAGTTTGCGCAGCTCCGGGAAATAGTAGCGCTTGACTTGTTTGGTAGCAGACATTTGATCCCAGTTCTTTGGGATGTTCTTCACTTTGATTGGCACCTCCAACTGGTAGATCTCCTTGCCATTGTCCTTGTAGATAATTGCGGAAGATCCAAGCTCTTTGCGTACACGCTTCAGCAGGCTCTCGAGGTCGCGGTGGATTTGCTCGATGTTTTCCTGGGAGCTGTCAAAGTCTTCCTCGACACCGGGCTTGGGTACCAGGATGCCATTCTCTCTCGCCTTGGAGCGATCAAAAGCAGTCTTCCAGTACTCGAGCAGCTCATTCAGGTCAGGCATGCCACTGATCAATTGTCCAATAACGCCTTCTCCGGCTGAGCCACTTTCCTTGAGCAGACTCATGGTATACTCGATCTGCTCAAAGCCTTCCAAGACGCGCAGGAAGTCTTGGGCTTTGCAATTCGCAGCATGGACACGAGAGATTAGTCGCTCCAAATCGGGCATCTTGGTCAGCTGGGACGAAAATTGGTCCCGGACAGTGGGATCAGCATTGAGGGCATCCACTGCATCCAAGCGAGCATTGATCTTATTTGCATCTACAAGCGGATGGCATACCCACTGCTTGAACATACGCTTGCCAAAAGGTGTGATACAGCGGTTCAAAAGCTGGAACAAGGTGCCCTCGGAGCCACCATCGAAAGAGTTGGAGAATATCTCCATGTTGATAAGAGTTTGACCATCCAGCACCAGGCTGGTGGCCTTCTTGATCGGATCGTACGCAGTAAAGTTGCCAATGGTGATCAAATCACGCTCAATCTTCAAGAGTCTGAGATACTGCACTAGAGCACCGAATGCGGACATGACCAGTTCTTTATCGCGGGCTTCTCGGAGTGCTTCGGGCCAAGCTTGTAAGTTATCATCGTCCTGGGAGACGAAATACTCGCTCGCATCAAGCTCCTTCACTGTGATGTCAGCTTCCCAGAACTCTTTCACCGGCTTCAGGTAATTCCAGAGTGTAGTTGGGCCAGTGTTGTTTTTCAAGATGCGCAAAGCCTTCTGAGATACTGCAGACTTCTCCAAAAGAAGCTCCTGTGGTCGGGTTTGCGCGACGAATGTCTCGAACTTGGTCATGTCAACATCGTCCACAAACTCGGACAGGAAGAATTGGCCGGTTGCTGTATCAACGAAAGCAATACCAAAGGCAGGCTTGTCGTCAATCAGAGCCTCTTTGATAGCAACACAGTAGGTGGACATGTCATCTTGCAGCATGGAGCCCTCGACGAGGGTACCAGCCGTGAGAACGGACGACAACTCTCTCCTGATGACTTTGTCTTCTTTACCTCCACCCTTCTTACCATCGCGCTCGCGCATCTCCTTGCCCAGGGCCGACTCGATTTGGTCAACACGAGCGATCTTGAAACCCTTGGCCACGAATTGGTTGGCCCAGTGATCCAGACTCATCTCCGGGACACCGACCATGCGCATGTTCACACGGTCCGTAAGCTTCAGATCGAACAGTTGATGTCCGATTGTAGCATCATTTTCATAAAGTTCGTAGAACTTGCCCTTCTTGAAGAAGACAACTGTATCCCAGAATTTCTGCTTGATCTCCCAGTATTGCTTCTCGAACGGAGAGAACTTGGTCCAAGCCAGTGGGGGAATATACAGGGTGCGAGGATCATATTCAGGATGCCCGATAGGGTGCCCGTCAATGTCCCGGATGTTTGCAAGCCACGCATACCGTTGTTCAGGCTCCGTCACATGTGCTTTCTGCTTCGTAGTTCCCGAAGATTTCTTTGGAGTAACCGGTGTTGTGCGCGGCTGGCGTGGTTCGGAGCTTTCTGGGTCGTACGTCCACTTCAGAGCTGTGCCAGCAGATGCGTCTGGTATGTCCATGTCCAAGTCCTCTTCAAATGATACAGGCGGTAAAGAGGAGGACTTGCTCTTCGGTTGTGTCGACGGCCTCTTGCGCTTCTTTGATGGCTTCGCTTCTTCGTCCGAATCGTCTGCAACAATAAAGTCGTCCATTTCTAAAACCTATTAGCGTCGTGCATTAAGATTTAAGCACGAAAACTCACCATCATCGGAGTATCCCACATCTCCACCATCGTTAAACTCGTCATCGCTTTCAGGAGACATCTTCCTTCGCTTGTTCCTGCTGTTGCGACCAGGGCGAAATATCTTCTCGTCATCATCTTCGCCTTCGGAGTCAGATTCGACGTAATTGACTTGCTTCTTGGCCTTGAAGGATAACTATCAGCACATTTGTAGAAAACATTGATGTCCGAGTTCAAGTCCTTACCCGCCGTGATGGAGATGCTGTCTTCAGTTCAGCTTTGCCATTCGGGCTCTCCTAATGCATCGTGTGTTAGTCGTCAACCCCGATAACACACTGCTTTCTGCAGATCGCACCTGTGCATTATCACCCTGCTCATCCTCCTCCGGAATCACTAGGTCACTACTAGGCACCGGCTCCAATTCCTGCTTGAACTTAGGAACGCTCTTCTTCCTTTCCGCCGCGCCCTTCGCACTTCCGCGTCGCTGCTCTGAGACCCTCTCCGCCGGAGAAGAAGCAGGCTCCGCATTGCGAGCAGTGGACGGGGTGGATGGAGACGACTTCTGAAAGAACCCAAGAATTGACTTCTGGTTTTTCATGTTCTGGGTGCTGGACGTGGAACGTTTCAAGGCTCCGGTGGGCGGCGTCGCAGTCGTGGGAGAGGAGGCGGCGGGGGTTCCTCTAGCCATTATGGGTTGTATTGTTATATATCAGAAGGAAGTTGATGGAAGGTAGTTTATATCATGCTTTATTATAAAAAAATAGAATAGGCCCATCAAATGGGTCAGGGGAATGGGAAGCAACAGAGGAAGGGGATGAACATCGGACAGGGTGAACTGAATGGTCCAGACAGTCCCGGGGAGCGCAGCGAGAAACGGGCGTCGCGCGTCGACGCGTTAAGTGGATTTCTGCCGCCGCCTTCTGCTTCGAGACTGACAGCCCGGGTGCCTCTCGCCCAATAAAAACCCGGTGGAGATCGTAGTATGGGGTAAAAGCGCAAGTCTAAATTTGATACATCGACTCGACGTGTGAAGCAGGGGAACCTTCATTAGGGACGGTGAGGGGAAGAAAGAACCATACTGGCTTGACTACCGAAGACAGTGCAACGCTTGGGGTTTTATTTTTGATGCCAATTTTCTTCAACGTTTCAGAGCCTTTCCAGTCTACTACTCGACAATGAAAATGATTCTCGGAGTACCTTTCTGAAGGGACGATCAGGAGACAGATACTGGCTGGCAGCTAGCACCTTACTGTTATCGTACTAGTAGAGCTGGTTCTTGATAGGAGTAGAGAGCGTCAGCATCGTTATTCAATACATTTCACCTCTTTCCGCTACACCCGGCTATGAGAGGCTTATCAATCGTCGGATACATTTGGCATACATGGTATATATACATGTCTAAAAATACAATGAGGAGTGTATAATCAAGTCAGAGCTTTTCAGGCTCAGCCAGATGGCCTTTAAGCGTTGTTGCCGGATTCCGGCGTTTCCGGCTCCCACCCGGGCGCGGTGAGTCCAGCCGCCTTGAATTCTTCATCGCTGACAATGGTCACGATCTTGAACTTCCACTTGCCCATCTTCAGGAAAAGTTTGTCTCCAATGATAAACTCCTGTGTCTTCGCTGCGGGCCATACCTTGATGGGGGTGAACGCAAGGTCGTCACTCATTTGCCCGCTATCTCCCGGACGACTGCCGACATAAGCACCCCGGTTCTCAATTGCACGGTGGCCTTCACTCTTGGAACCAACCAGTCCTGCAGACCAGAGGACTTTGTTCAGCGTCTGATTGTACACTAGAGACCGCGGAAGGGTGATGTTGACTTGTGGCATGTTTGCAAAGTTGGTTTGAGGGGCATAGGGATTTCCAGATTCTTGAGTAGCAAAGCCGGCCGTTGGTGACTGGGGGCTACCACCGGTCGAGGATTTCCGGGGTAGTGGGCTTGGTTCTGCCGTAGATAACCGTGGACGGAAAAGCTGACGATGTTGGAGAGCCACCGCATCAGCCTCCATCTTGCCATGGACCAGCTCGACAAACTCTGAAGCGAGAGCATGCTGGGCCACCCGCTTAGAGGGGTCTTTATTTTGTTCCTCCATAATCTTAGCGATTTCGGGCAGCGGCAAAAAGGTGAACATCTTCAGGTAGCGCTCAACAACATCATCCGGCGTCCGAACGAAGAACTGTCATCCATCAGTTAAATTAGGCCAGTTGTTGAGGTGGTGCATCATACCTGGTATAGCTCGAAAGTAGACGTCATGTCTTTGTCGAGCCAGATCGCGTTTCCAGCAGACTTGCCAAATTTCTCGCCAGACGGAGCCGTGAGCAAAGGAGTCGTGATACCAATGGGCCTAGAAAGTTCATCTTTAAATTCGAATTGTTGCTCTGGATCGGTCATGTTCTTGCCGATGGACTTCACTGCGTCCATGCCAAAGAGAATATTGCCGAATTGGTCCGAGCCGCCAACCTGAACCTGAACACCCTTTTGGAAGAGTACCCACCAGTCCCATGCCTGCATTAGGGGGTAAGTAAACTCGGCAAAGGACATTCCATCTCCCTTGGACAGCCGGTTTTTGACCCTATGTGTTCGTGAGCATCATCCTGGCGGATATTGGGAAAGGGCGAACTTACGTGTCTCGCCCCATCATAGGTCCGAGACGGGTGTGAACGCCTAGGTCTCGAAGCAATTCTATGACAGGCAGCGAATTCCACCAGGTGTTGTTGTTCACAAGGGCGCGCCGCCAGTACTTATTAATATAGCCATGTCTTCTGCCATACGTATCAATACTCTGCCCCAGCTTCTTGAGTTGCATATGCATGCTCGCCATGTTGGCTTTCCGAACGGACGAGTGAACTTGATCCCGGCTTTTCAGTCGTCCTGTTGGATCACCGAAGCGAGCAGTAGCACCACCAAGCTGTGAGATATTAGCCAGGCTCGATATTGCCCAACCATACGTATATTACTGACCAGAAACGTGACCGGCAAGCCCCAGACGTAACCCCAAGCCAGAATCATAAACGGTAGCATATGTCCAACGTGTAAAGACGGAGCGGTAGGATCCACGCCAGCGTACATGCCAACTCTCTTTTTCGTGAAGAGACGATCTAACGTTTCTCGTTCTCTGCATTTGGTGGTAGGGTCAAGTTAGCCAACCACCGCCAATTCCAGTTTATGAATGTGTACTATTTCGAAATCACCTACCCAACAACATCGTGCAGTAGTCCGCGCTCCTCAAGGTGTTGTGCAAAGTTCTTCCTCTTTCCTGCTTCAATCTCGTCCGCAAAGTCATCCCATTCCTTTGCAGCGTCCTTCTGTTTCTGCAGATAGCTCCGCGAGATCCAACGTCTCTGATCCGATGCAATTTGGGTGACTGGGTATCTAAGCATGGGCCGAATGCTGCTGGAGGGCGACTGGTTCATCCGCAACACTTCGGCGGTCCGCACATAGTTGCGAGCGCCGCATAATGTTTTCTGTGGTAAAGTCTTCGGTACATGGAGGCGTACCGCGCGAGGCAGAGCCCCTGTGTGTGGCCTCATGATACCAGGTAGCAGACAAGTCAACCAATGGCTGCTTGTAACTGACTGGCAATGGTATTGCGCGAGAGTGGCAGATCACTCAACTCTAAAATCACCTCCGAGAAGAAGCCGATCAGTTGCGCCGCGACGGAGAATTGTTGACGCGGAGCTCATTGCCCGATAGGGTGTTTCCCGATTAGAACAGATCACATGAGCTTGACTGTGTTTTAGCTTGTACCGCCAAACAGACCGCCTGAGCCGGCAGAACCTAGTGAACCTCGCAGCGAAAACCACGGATTTAAGCGGATTTAATAATGTACTGTCCCAGAAAAACTGGGAGTGAAACTGTATGTTTTGGCGGTGGCAGTATTCTGTGCATACTTTGATCCCCTACCGCCATACAGACCGCCTAGGCTGGCAGAATCTTGCCCAGAAATGCCCGGATTTAAGCGGCGTTATAGATATACATTCCTGTATTGGTTGTCGACAGTTCAATATAAGCAGCCACATCCTGATCTCTTACCTCTTTCTTGAAACTCATCTTCCAATTTCACATTTACCATTATTCAAATCTATCATACTGTTCCAGTTGATGTGATCATGAATTGGCACTTTTGATGATCCAGTAGTACATTCGACATATATCCAGATGGTTAGCTATAATTATGACCTACCAAACGGCTATCACACAGAGCAAGTCTATATAGTACCGGGGATGACGAATCCTAGAAGCCTCCTTAATGACTGATGCAATACATCTAATCTCAATCAAAGCATGTGCTACTTAGACTCTGTCAGGCCAGTGTGCAGCATTCTTTCCAGGAAGCTTACCCCGGAAAATATTAGCTGCAGGTCCAAAATGCGGGGAAGCGAAATGCCGAAGAACCAAAGGCGCACGAGCATCACCTCGGCCGAGCTCGGGCGAGCTCACCCGGCCAGCATATAATCTTCTGTGATCGCTACATTCTCTCTTAGGACATAAAAGTTGTGGTATTTGACTGATTACCGTCCGAATAATAACTGTGTGGTTATCACATGTGTGTAGCCATGCCACAACCTATGCGACAGACCCAGCGAGTCCCCCGAACATGCATCCAATGTGCTCGAAGAAAGATCAAATGCTCCAAGAAAATACCATGCGAAGAGTGCATCCGGCGCGGTGATACTGTCGCCTGCAAGCGCGAAATTGTCAGAGTGCATGGCAAGGTCACCGTGTGAGTCCACCTCATACTATCTGTCCATGCATTGATTGATGCCCGGTTCAATAATCTGATCTCATGACCCATGAACAGCGCAGTAGATGAAGAGAAACGGATGGACGATTCGGACTCGGAATCAAACCTTGTGCGAGAAAACATCAGCCTCAAAACTCGCATTAGGCAGCTGGAATCAGTACTTTCTCGGCCTGAAACGCTGAAACTTGAGGCAGATATCTTCCGATTGTCTCCTGCTGCAGAGAACCCACAGTCTTCAGACAGAGTTCTGAACGACTTCCAAAGTCTCCCATTTGGACTCTTGGTGGAAGCGTCACAAGTCTCCGGGGGCGCTATTCATCCGAGGGATGACCACTTACTACTCGTATTGCCAGATCGGCATTGGAGCGAAACTATTGTACGGTTTTCTCTAACCCATTTTGGGTGGGTCCATTGCGCTTTAGATACTTCGGCTTTTATGACAGACCACTCTTCGTTCTGGGACCACCTCAGCCACAGCAGATCAGAAAGCCTAAAGAATCATGCTTGGATTGCGGTGTATCTTAGTGTGCTGGCTGTAAGTTTCTTTGTGGCGATGGGAAGCTCTCAGCTCACTGTTCGGCAGATAGGGGTATATTTCATGGCAGACGATCATATTTGCAAGATCCGCTTTCTCCAGGAATCACTCCCTTCTTACAGGTCATCGCTCCTAAGTAGGGTACCCACGGAACTGTGCCGCATCTGGTGCGAAGCTGCTCTGAAGGAGCTCGGCTATGCCAACTACTTGAGCAAGCCCAGTATTTCGACTGTGCAAACATTGGTGATTCTGAATATTGTGCATAAAAACCTTGGCGAGTCATGTCGCGAATACACACTACACGGTCTCGCAGTGAATATTGCTCGCTTGATTGGAATTGATCGTCTCGGAGGACGTTCCGATAGACCCAGTAACTGTCTACTTAAAGACACAGGGCTGATTCGGAAAAATGAAAACGTTTACCGCAGGCTGTGGTGGACACTGGTGATCTGCGACTGGTAAGTATTCTGCTCATATTGGGCTGGACTTCACTAAGAGAAGCCAAGGATGACCGTGTGGTCCCGCCCTATTTCAATACACCCGGACTCCTTCACGACAGTGCTAGAAACTGAGGATGGAGAGGAAGTGCCACCAATCATAGCTGGTGAAGACAAGCATATTCCATCTCCATTTGAGTACCATAAAGCAATGGCCCAGCTCGCTGCAACCATGCAGAACCACGCCAGATCTATCAACGAGTGGACCACAGTAGCTGTCCGAGCCTCCTTCGAGGAGCTCGACTCTGTGGCTGCAACCTTTCCGCCCCATCTCTCATACCCCGGAACCGACGAATCTGTGCTTGCGGTCGAACAAGGACTTGAATGGATCCACGTCCAACGCAGTCTCATTTTCAACTGTTTAGATTGCTGGCACATAAACCTATGCGTCGCTCTAATACCTCAACTACTCGGCAACCCAGCAACTGGAGAAGATGATGTGCAGCAGAGCGGGATTTCCTGCGCAAAGGCCATTCTGTCACGACGATACCATGATCCATGTCCCCACTTCCACAAGTTCTGGGCAACCACATGCTCCACTGTCACGGCTGCTATATTTTTGGCTCTGGACCTGATCTGCTTTCGCCATCACCGATCATCTGCTGAAGTGGCTGAAGAAAAGGCCTTGATCTTGTTCGGTATCTATCTTGTGGAGCGAACATGCACAGATACACGGCACGACGCCTTACTTGTCTTGCGCCGTCTTGTTGAGCTATCCAACGTTCTGCGACCCAGACAATTCATCGACCAGAAGGTATTCGTCCGGCTCATGAAGCTTGTCGCTTCTCCCAAACTATGGGCCTCATTCTCTGATACAGAGGTCACGTTGAGGTTTCTGTTTGCGGACCTGTCGTCCACTGGGGAGGCGAGCAAGTCGGCATTAGACCATGACGAGCAGATACAAAGCACCGATGCTGGCGACGTCACGTGTGGGAATATACTACCAAACACCCTGAGTCGGTTTGCAACAGTCTCAGGTGAAGCAGGGGACTTGCTTCCACTCGAGGACGATCTCTTTTCCTCTGAGCTGTTTGACATGTCGCTGCCGTGGTTGGATCCTGGGAGCCTGATGGCATTTTCAAACGAAGCGTCATTCTGATAGACAGAGCTATGTGCTGGATATACGTTAAACCCCCACCCAATATATTTCAAGTTAAATAAACCGAATCCAGCTTCAAACGTCACATCAAATAGCTACGTCGTATCAACAAACTCAACAAAACAACCCATAGCATCTCAATCAAAACTCCGCACTCCTCCCATCCACCGCATATTTCATCGTAACCCTTCTAATCCAAGCCCCAAAGACAAAAACCGGAATTCCAAGCGCCGCCACAACACCCGCAATGATCGCACAAATATCCAAAGCACCCTGGAACCCCTTCTCAGTCACGAACTTCGTAATCCCAAACGAGATCCCAAAAGAAATAAACCCGCGAATGGCACAAATCAGAACCAGAATTGGCGCCGCTCGCTCTCCATAACTATCCAACGAATACGTGTACCCGTTGAGAATAATTCCAATATAAGCGAAATACATCCCGCTAAAGGTAGTGGTAATCGCCCACGGCGACCACTCCGTAGGATGAGATCCAGCACGGCCAAAGATAACGCATGAAATAAGCAGTACGACAATCGGCAATAGCATCGGGATGAGCCGAACTTCGGACTCAACAGTGCCGTTCCCTCGACGGCTCGCGACCCATTTGTATAGCTGGTCGCCGCCGTAGCCGAGTACGGGCACCATTATCATCGCTACCACGATCTGCCCGCCCTGGACTAGACCTAGGCTTGTTGTTGGGTAATTGTATGGAGGGGCGCCTAGGATGGAGGAGTATTCTGTCACTCCGATAACGTAGATGCCGAGGGAGACGCTGTTCATTAGGACCACCCAGAGGATGTTAGGGAACAGGATGCATTGTCCCATTTGCTTGTAGCATGTTAGGGCTTCTTCCCAGTTCGCTGGTGGGTGCATGATTTTGAGGGTGTGTTTCCAGGTGCGGGCTTGGTAGTTGGTGAAGTCTAGGGGTACGCGGTTCTTGGTGGTTGCGTGGATGACGGCTTGCTCTTCGCCGTCGTGATGGATGTGCACTTCGCCTTCGAAGGCGTCGGTTGGTCGGTCGTAGCGGGATTCGGGGACTAGGGTAAATGCGCCGATAAAGACTAGTCCGCTGGCGATGGAGAATACCCCGTACCACCATCTCCAGCCCAGGCTACTTACTAGGTAGGATGTGGCGATGGTTAAGGCGGCGGTGCCGATGGATTGGATGGCGCTGAACCAGGCGAGTCGGCTGCTGCGTTCGTGGACGAAGTGGATCTCCTGGATTATATTGGTTAGATTGTTCGACTTGTGAAGCATAGGGTATGGGATTGGGGTGTGGATGTACCTGTATGATAAGAGGACATAAGGCCTCTGATTGCCCTGCTGCCAACGACAACACATCTCTTCCTGCTATATGCGACGAAAGACTTGTGCTTGCAGCGCACCATATTGATCCCACGGTCAGGATCAATGCAGAGCCTAGGAATACTGGGCGTCTGCCGATTGCCATGGCGAGTGGCATAGCGATGATGTTCCCTATTCCCATAAAGAGGGTTGGGTAGGTCATTAGATCGTCGGTTCGGGGGCTGTAGTCGTAGTAGGCTTCCATTAAAGTGACGAAGGGGCCCATTCCGGAGGTCATTAGAACGCCGAGGACGGAGACTAGATTGATCGTATTAGATGGTGGTTTGGGTAGGGAGGGAAGGGATGGAGCGTACACAATCCCAGCACGAACGTGATTATCCATTTTTGCCATTGAGGGTAGTTCAAGGGATCTGTTTCACTGCTCGTTAGCCATATGATATTCTCGAACAAGTTGTGAAGGAATCAAACCTCTTGGGTCCGGAGACGGCGTCGGAATCAACACTATTTCTCCATCCTCGACTAATTTCACTGTGCCGGTTGGGTTACTGCCTTTTCCATGATGCTTTAAGGATTTCTCCATAGCGAGTTCATGGTGCGTTGCGTCGATGTCCTTGTCATCCATATTGCTATGTGCAGACATCTGGCTTGTCTTTGCAGGAGCTGTGTCCTACCCTTAATCAATAAAGGACGGGGGAATGGACTAAGCAGTGCTCCCTCCCGGCCTTCATATGCCTTCCATCCTGATGGTTCCTAGTACCCCGTGGGGTAGAACTTGTCTGTGTAATGAAGCCTAGCTCATTAGCCACATCGTGTCCGAGCGTGGAGTTAGAGCTGCAAACGTGGAGCCGAAAGTATGTTTTGATTGATGATATGGTGTGAAGAAGTGAGGGAACCAGCGAGATGGGAGAATCTCGCCCGAGCTCACCCGGGCGGAGGTGCGCGTGCCGCACGACGGCAATGGACGACGTTGCGGTAACCGACTAGTGGAACTTGATCACATTGATAGCCCCCATTTAGATGCTAGGTGTCATCAATGGGTTGGATACTGGTTGTTTAAGATCGTGGAGAGGTTTATGTGATGCTACAGCTGGGTGTATATGCAGTGCTTTGCATAGTAGACACTTGTCTCGCATCAGATGGCTTATAATATATCATCAAAGGGCATTCATGACAAAAGAAGTAGAATTGTAAGATATCTAATACTACAGATCACTAGTACGGCTTCACACCTGCCAACTGCAACAGTCTCTCACTCCTCACCGGCTTGGTAAGAGGTTCGTCCCTCTCCAACGGATCCACCACTTCCTCTCCATCCACTTTCACCATCGCCTTCCCATGTGTGAACAAGTTCGTATGCGGCCAGTGTGTAGTTGTCTCATATGCCTCGAATAATTCCTTCTTCTTCTGCCGATCCTCCTCACTCATCCACGCCGCCGGCGTATATGTCGCATAAACAATGGTGCGCACCAGATCCGAGGTCCCGAACTGAGCCCAGTGCATCTGTCTGGAGTCCCAAAGGATCAAATCTCCTGGTTCAGCACAGACCTTGATCAACTCGCACCCACGCTCGCGGTACCAGTCTAAATCCTTGTCATGGAAGGGATGGAAGTCCTTGTGTTTGGCGGTGCGCCAGGGCGTGGGGCCAGTGACCGGGTTCTCTTCGAAGAATTGGTCAAAGAGCGGCGCGGAACCCTTCATTACAATGAGTCCACCGTCATCGGGGCCCGAGTTAGAGAGATTGACAATGCCCTGGACACAGACCAGACCTTTGCGTTCGGGCGCTTGGTCGCAGTGGGGCCAGGGCTGAGAATCGTAGGCGCCTACAATGGATTGAGGGAGGGTGATGTTCACTGTGTCGAAGGAGACGACGAGCTCGTCGGTGCCCCAGAGTTTGGCGAAGGGAGCAATGACGTCTGGCTCGCTGTAGCCATGGTTTAGCAAGATGGATCTCTAGAGAGGAGGGAAGAGAGACGTGACTTACCACCGGACGTCCCAGACATACTTCTCGTGCGCAGCAGAGAAGTGCAGGTACATGCCGCCTTTCCAGCTCTGTGGGAGGTTTTCCTTCTTCCAGGTGGACTTGTCGTTGCGATCAAAGCCAAGGCCGAATGATTCGAGCCAGGTCAGGGCTTCGCTTTGGTATTCGCTGGCGCGCTCTTTGCTCAGCACGCCTTTGATGACAGCGTAACCGTCACGAAAGAAGTCATCACGGAAGTCACCATATTGAGGCTGCTGTGTCTGGATGGACTGAAGCTTCCCCGGGGCAGGGGATGGGATGGGCTCCGGAGTATCGACACGGGAGGGTGCCATATTAAGGACGCTTGACTTGGAAGGAATATGGTTGAAGTGTAAAATTGCAATAAAGGATCTCCTGGATGGCTAAGCAAATGGTACTTTGAGAATATACAGCTTTGGTGACGTCGAGGGCTTCGGCGGCAAGAGGAGCTTTTGCGCGCTTTTATCCCTCCAGCTGGATCTCCAGCCAGGGTAATTGATCCGAACTGATCCCCTTAGACACGGCCGAGCCCATCCTCATCCGAGATAGTAATCGCCACTTCCCATGACCTAGTCATTGTGCCCGAACTCATGAATTGCCGAACGGTCAGCAGAGCTCAAGACGAGCATGCAAACTCGCCCGAGCTCGGCCGTGCTGGGGGTATAGCCGCGATAGCACGATCCGACAATGCGCCATGTCCACAACCCGACAACCAGAGAGAAAAGCAAGAGCTCACATTGATTTGTAACTTCACGCTTAGTATTTTCTTGAAAAGCACATAGTGGTGGGCGCGTGGCATTGTTCATAAGGAGCTCGACAATCTCTGGCATTCCCGTCCATATTGCGATCAATACTTTTCAAAATGCCTTCTCCGGTACCTGTTGCGACTCGTCCAATTGACAAGCCCACCGTGGGCAGAAACAATTACCAGCCGTTTGGGTTTCGTGAAGAAGTTCTACCCAAAGGCTGGAACAAAGATGGCTCGCGTCCCTTGCCTTGTGACATCCATGCATCGCACGACGTGGGTATCCAGGTCCGGGATGGAAGCACATTATATTGCGACATCTATCGTCCTACAGACACCACCAAACCTGTACCCGCAATCTTAGCATGGAGCCCCTTTGGGAAGAAGTTCAATGGAATTAGCATGTTGAAGTTCCTCCCCTGGGGTCTAGGGATTCCTCAAGGCGTGCTGAGCGGCCTGGAGAAATTCGAAGGGCCTGATCCAGCTGAGTTTGTGCCTCGAGGCTTCGCCATCATCAACGTCGATGCCCGTGGTTCTGGCGATTCAGACGGCACAGTAGGTATCATGGGCACCCAGGAAGCCGAGGACGGTTACGACGTGATCGAGGCCGTGGCTAAGATGCCCTGGTGCAATGGAAACGTTGGTCTAGCAGGAAACTCACACTTGGCCATCGTCCAGTGGTTTATCGCTGCGTTGCACCCGCCATCACTCAAGGCTATTGCTCCTTGGGAAGCATGCGGTGACCTCTATCGAGAGCAGTTCGTGCGAGGAGGAGTCTTCGATGCGGGCTTGTTTGATTTCATCATCGATCATAATATCCAGGGCCACGGGGGTGTGGAAGACTTTCACGAGATGTATCGACGATATCCGCTTGCGAACAGCGCATACTGGAAGGATAAACGACCAGATCTCAGCCAGATCAGCATACCCGCCTATATCACCGCTTCGTACACCAGTTTTGTGCACACGATGGGGTCGCTTCGCGGATGGCTCCAGACCCAATCGTCGGATAAATGGCTGCGACTCTGCCCATGGCAGGAATGGTACGATATGTGGAATTGCAAGGAATCTGCCGCTGAGCTCGCATCCTTTTTCGACCGCTATTTGAATGGCACCGACAATGGATGGGAGAAGACACCCAGGGTACGGACTACCATATTGCGATTTAATCAAGATCCGTTGTACAACATCGCAGAGGAGGACTACCCAATTCCACGCACCGAATATCGCAAGATGTACTTTCACCCCGAAGGCCGTCTCAGCGATGACGCCCCCAGTGGGGTTTCATCAGTGTCATATAACTCAGAGAAGTACCAAGACTGCGCGAGCTTCACCCACACTTTCTCCAGCCGAACAAGATTGGCGGGGATCCCCAAAGCAGTGGTATACATGTCGTGTCCAGACTTTCATGATCTTGACGTGTATGTTCTTATAAGGAAGCTTGACGCGCAAGGAAAGGCACTGCTCAATCTCAACATTCCGTGGTCATCAATAGCGAAATTCGGCGTCGGTCCAGACGATGTTGACAGCATCTCTCCTCGGGAGAAGAACAATCTCATGTTCCATGTCGGGTCCTTGGGGATCTTACGGGCTTCACGCCGAGCCATTGACCCTGCCAGGTCACTTCATGAGAACTTTCCCTTTCACCCACATGACCGCGATGAATACATCACCCCTGGAGACATTGTGAAGCTGGAGATCGGCATATGGGCGATGGGAGTGGAATATGAGGCAGGAGAAAGCATACGGGTCGAAGTGCATGGAAACAGTCCATTGCTGCGGGGTGAGTTCAAAGAAGACGGGGAATTCCAGGAACTGGCATCACATGGAACACACGTGCTCCATCTGGGGGGTGAACATTCTTCGCATATCGTTCTGCCGTTCGTATGACCGGGCACGATGCGCCGAATACAGTGACATATAGACATGTAGGCTAGCTTGCAGAGAACTTTGCTACTATCACGCAAGTAATGGTATGAACAAGATTTCGAATTTGCTTTATTTCCTAACTAAACATGGCCTGGGGCATTGCTGCAGAGCCCAATCATAGGCGCCATCAGCACCAGTAAGGGTCATACAGCATAGCCGCTCCCCCAGGTATAACACCTCCAAGTAATGTGTGAATCAGAGATGCCTTAATCGCGTCCGTCAAGTAACAAGGTTGGTGTGCCGAACGCCTATTTCATCCCACTCTCAACCGGAACCCATCAGCCCTTTAGCCCCGAAAGGAGAGCCAGAAGGGCTCCAGGAAGAGAGATGGGTTCATATAGAACACACTAGGCTTTCATCATCTGCAATATCACGTTAGTGAATAGGAAAAAGGAAGTCAAAAGTCAAAGGTAGCACTCACTTTTACAAAACTTGGAAGGATGAAGAGGGAAGAAATGACGGCGCCGGAAATTTTGCTTTTAATTGGCAGTGTGGAGGACGCTAGACCCGTCATAGAAGGCGGCGTGTCATATTCTGCTCAGAGTTTCCGCCCGGCGGTGCCTGGCAATTTCCCGATTCCCCGATTAGTTATGAGTCCATCTCGAAGGCATCGTGCCATTGCATTACCACCCCAGGAGGCTTTGGATTATTGTGGCTGACCTCTTCTACGTCTCAATCTTCCTCTCGGGCTGGTTTGCGCAGCAAGATGTATCTCGCCAGGGCGGTCCGATGCCCCCCTCACCTCCGCGCGACCTACGTGGAGATCTCCAACTACTTCCGCGGCAGACAACTCGGTCGGCTTTCAGCATTGCAGGCTCACAGCTCCCCTGTGCGATCGTTCCATGATTTCAGTGAAAAGCACCGCTCCAATGTGACCTCGTCGGAGTTCCTAGATAAGTTCAAACAATCGAGTTCGTCATCCTGCCAACCAATGCAATCCTTCCAGCAGTTCTAGCACATACGACCAAGTTGCATCCTCGCACTCGGAAATGCTAACCTCCCGTTCCCAAAGTGGAATTCCCCCAGACAACATTGGATATCGACACCTTGTATTCGCAGGATTACGAAGGCCAATCCGTACTCCTCCATGGCTACCTGGACAAACGCGATGACATGGGGAAAGAGCTCTCGTTCGCCCGCTTGTATGATCACACAATGGGTCGTACCATACAGCTTCTCTCAAACTCACAAAGCAATACTCTGCCCCAGCTCAAGAAGATCAGCAGGGGTAGCCCAGTGGTTGTTCAAGGGACAGTTAAGCGCAGGGTGACAAAGACTGCCGAGGAGGAGCGCAACGATTACTTGGAGATCGCGCTGGAATCAATTCAACCGCTAAACGAGTTTCCCCGCGAGATTGTGCTATTCGGAAAGAACATCGTTCACCCGCCTAAGCATCGCCACCTTCAACTGCGAAGCGATAAAGAGCTGCGTGATGCTCTCCGGTTCCGAGCGCAAGCGCGCAATGTCTGCCGGGAGACGCTGGAACAGCTGAAGCCAGCGTTCGTTGAGATAGAGACACCTTTGCTGTTCAAGTCGACTCCGGAGGGTGCTCGTGAATTCATCGTCCCGACCAGGAAGAGGGGGAAAGCCTACGCTCTTCCTCAGAGCCCGCAGCAATATAAGCAGATTCTCATGGCAAGTGGAATCCCGAGATATTTCCAGTTCGCGCGCTGCTTCCGTGACGAAGACCTCCGCGCCGATAGACAGCCGGAGTTCACTCAGGTAAGGTTCTAGTGACACCATACAGGATAACTGCTGATTCAGGATTGTAGCTGGATCTGGAAATGGCTTTTGCTGCCGGACAAGATGTCATGGCCGTTGTTGAGGAAATAATCCGCGGCCTGTGGGGGAACATGATGCGTGAGCCAGTCCCTTCAGGTCCGTTCCGTCGAATGACTTACCAGGAGGCAATGACTCGCTATGGTTCGGACAAGCCGGACACCCGCCATGGAATGGAGATTCATCGTGTCGAGCACCTCCTTCCTGCCGACCTTGTGTCGAAGATCACCCCTCTGACAGATCCAATCGTTGAAGCCTTCAAGATGGATACCGTCGAGCAGCTACCGTCAGCAACTCGCGAATTTGTTTCACGGTTCTTCGACTCTACCGAGGGCGAGCCATTCAACAAGAACCCCGATGGTGCACCAGGAATATTCATCTATGACGAAGGACAACCCCTGAAGGGCCTGGGACCTCTCGGGTTCGAAGCAGCCGAAAAGATCCAAGAGATGCTAGACCTTAGTCACGGCGACCTGCTCATCCTTCAAGCTCGCCCACAAGGCCCTTTCGCCGGTGGTGCAACCCAACTCGGCAGCATCCGCCGCGCTATGGCTGCCGCCTCCATCTCCGAGGAACTAAGAGAAGCGCCCCCAGGCTTCGAGTTCCTCTGGATAGTCGACTTCCCTCTATTCAGTCCCACGGATGCCTCCGAACCCGGCCAAGGTGGTACTGCCGGCCTCTCCGCCACCCACCACCCCTTCACAGCCCCAAAGACCTCTTCGGACGTCGACCTCCTCAGCAAAGACCCCACTAAAGCCCTCGCGGACCACTACGACCTCGTTGTCAATGGCGTCGAGCTCGGCGGCGGTAGTCGCCGTATTCATTGCGCCCTGACCCAGAACTACATCTTCAAGGAAATCC